CATCGAGGAAGAAGAGTCATCCACGATAAAGTGCATCTGTGGATACTCCGATGACGATGGCAACACGGTATTGTGCGAGAAGTGCGACACGTGGCAGCACATTGTTTGTTACTACGAATCTGCCCAACACGTTCCCGATGTACACGAGTGCGCAGACTGTCTTCCGCGAGCCATCGACTCAAAAAGCGCTTCTGAGAAGCAACGCCTCCGAAGAGAAGTACATAGCATCGGTGAGCGCAAAGGCAGACCGAAAGCATCAACCAAGAACCCTAAGAAGCGAACCAAGGATACCCACGGCCCCGTACAATCTAATGGCTGGCCAATGCAAACTAACGGGGACCTTCAATACACCCCTGATCGGAAGAGTGGTAGCCCACGAGACCAGCCACCGCCCAACAAGCGTCCCAAGACGAGCCATCGTCCTTCTGGATCTGTGGGCGTTGTTAGCCAAGCGCCAGCTCTCGTGCCAACATCACGAAAACGAGGCGGCTCGGTTATGCTCAATGGCCACAGTCCTGTCAAATCACCCACGAACCCAGAGGCTCCTATCGAGGACTACTCGTCCGAGTTCATGCACCTCTATCGACAACCCGAACCACCCTCAGCTGATTCCAACTCATACACCCGCATCGATGTCGCAAACGACATAGCTATGTGGCTCCAAGACCCGGAAGCCCTTGCCGAAGCAAGTGGAGGAAAGAAACCACAAGACATTTTCTCACGCATTGATATTACTATCCAGGAACTCGAAACGTCAACTGCGCCAGAGATCGTGAAACAGACAGATGTCGACTCGGGTATACTAGCGCATGGCCTGCACCCACAATGGCACTTCATTACCGCCGAGACCCCAGTACCAGACGGTGGCTACGTTGGAGAGCTCAAAGGTCTCATCGGACGAAAGGCAGACTACTATTCCGATGCATCCAACAGATGGGACTTGCTCCGACACCCCGAACCCTTCGTCTTCTTTCCTCCTCACCTACCAATATACATTGACACCCGTCGGGAAGGCAACATTCTCCGATACTCACGAAGAAGTTGCAACCCGAACATGTCTATGAAGATTTTGATTGACTCCAGCAACGACTACCACTTCTGCTTCTTAGCGACGCGCGAGATCAGCCCGGGTGAGGAACTCACAGTTGGCTGGGACATTGATTCCGAAGTACAAAAGCAGCTTGCCAGAGTCGTCACCAACGGCGCCAAAGAAGGATTCAAGAGAATACAGCCTTGGGTTTCTTGCGTCTTAGCTAACTTCGGAGGCTGCGCTTGCGACACATCCAACGGCAACGAGTGCCTTCTAGAGCGCGCTCGTCGCAACACGACTACAGAGCAACCCACGCTGAAGACCAAAGGCAAAAAGGTCAAAAAGTCTCAGGTTTCTCCTATGAGTACGGGTCACGCAACCAACAGTCGTGCTGGTAGCGAAACTGCCAACCGTGATACAATCGACGAAGACCAAATGGACGCTCGCTCTACGTCTGGCTCGCACAAGTCGAGCAGCCGCGACATTACACCAGCAACCCACTTCTCGTCCTTGGAAGGCGATAAACTCTCTGAGCGCGAAAAGAGGAAGATCCAGCACCAAGAACTTTTGTTCCAGAAGCTTGATCACGATGAGCACAAGGGCAAGAGGAAACGAACCAGTGCTGGATCGAATCTGAATACTCCGAGCATCTCTTCCTCGGTAAGACGCTTGTCCTCTTGCCCGATTCCTATTGCTAATGCAGATACTCAGAGACGACTCGGACACCCTGAACCTTCGCCCTCGGCTCGCCATCGCGAACATAGTCACGGTGTAGCACGCAAAACATCGGGCAGCTCCACAAAGACCAACGGCCGTCCTGCGCCCCGTCCAAAGCCCGTCTACGTCGACTCGTCGACGCAGACAGTTGAAGATAACGATGTAAAGTCACAAGCATGCATCAGGCCACGTCAAATGAAGCCCCCGCTATCCTTCAAACGTAAGCTTCTGCAGCAGGCGCAAGAGGACAAACTACAACGCGAGCGAATGCGATCCACGTCGGTCAAGATGGAGGCCAAATCGCCAGCTTTGAAGGATGTGTCGTCAAATAAGCCGTCGCCGCTACCACCATCTCCACCCCTTGAGGAGCCTTCTGCGATGGATATCTCTACAGAGCCTGCACCTGATACAAGACACAAAGAGCTCACACCTGCAAAGGAGCCTACGCCGCAGCCTCCAGTGGACGTAGAGATGACTGACTCTGAGGATACAACCGTCAAAATCTTCGAACCGAAACAAGAAGAGCCAGCTGAGGTATCTGCTCCGGAACCTCCCAAGGAAGCTCCAAAGGAGGCTCCTCAACCGTCAATACAACCCCTCGACCCTCCGTGGTCAGCTTCGACGCCAGCTGAACCATCTCCGAAATCTACGACCGGCCTGACACCAAAGCCTGTGGATCTTCATGTTGAGATGCCTGCGAAGCTCGATTTGGTCAACGCCAGCAACAACCGCGCTGTCACCCCTGGATCGACTTCTTCTATTCTCAACGAAAGCACAGTCGCGCAATCACCGGGCGCCTCCATTATTGCATCGCCCTTCTCGCCTGCTGTAAACAACGCTGTCAAGCCTGCGCCAGCGCGCAAGAAGCTTAGTCTAAGTGACTACACCAACCGCAACCGAAAAACCAAGCTGGCGCAAACACAGTCGACTGGCTCGAACGCTACGCCGCCCCTAAATTCGCAATCGACAAGCTCGCCAACGTTATCGACGGCTAGCCTGACCAATACGAATTCACCTCCTCCCAAGGCTGTCGAAGCGATCCTCCCACCCGTTGCAGAGGAAGCGAAGCCGTCTGAAGTATCCGTCGCGCCTACTATGGCGACTACTTCTACTTCGACATCAGCGACATGATTCACGATACCCTGCTCCTGTTCAGAATCAGTTCGCGGGCCGCAGGGCGACCCGCGGTTCTTTCTTTCTATCTTTGGAGTGTAACAACATGTAATGATTACAAGTCGAACGATCCTTTGTTTTCTCACTTTTCTATTTCCTTCTGTTCTTATCCTTTTCTTCCAACGACTTGAAGTGTTCGGTCGGCTTACTTCATATCGATTTGATGGAGATTCCAAAAAAGCGGGATACTTTCAATGAGCTCTCTATTGCACGCAAGTTAGCCTCCCGGTCTACGTACGGATGGAGCTGGTGTGGCGCTGATTGGCTCTCACGCTGAGCGTCCCAGGGATGAAAGAGATGGAAGTTGAGAAGACGGGCAGCCCTGTTCTTCTCTACTGCGCGGCCTGAAGCCGAGTCTTGAAGCCGCGTCCTCTATTGCTGAGCGTCTGTGTTTAGCCGAGATGAAATGAAAACAAGAATTCACATGTGAATACTATCATCAAACAGTCACTGGTCCCTTTATGTTGCATCTATAGGTGTGTTATGACAGTCGAACATGACGCCCATTGACCAGGCAGGGTACCGAGGGATTTGGAGCTAGAATACATTACATGATGAAGTCTTTGACAAAAAACTTCTCCAGTGTATATACATCCATTCGGCTACTATCCATCTATATCATACTCAATTAAATCTCAAACGAAGTGTGCTTCCACACCACAAAAGGAGACATGGATTAAGAGCAATAGGAATCCCAATACAAAACCGAATATCGAAAGAGAACGAATAAGACGGACGAAAACCATCTGCCCCCTGCAAACAACCACTCCTCAGCCTACTGTCTTTTCGCCAACTTCCTCCCACTTTGCCTCCATCATTCTCGCAGGTGCAATCTCCCCTGTCACAGCCCTCCCGTCTATTTCTGTAGGTCCAATCCGTCCCCCGTTGATATGTTTGGGACTATGTCTGTATACGGTCTCATAGTAGTTTGGTATCGCTTCTTCTACCTCGTTGGTAGCAGCAGTGGCGGCGGCAGCAAGAACGTGTGGTGTTGATGCTATACGGTGCGCATGGGAAGGACATGGAGATATGACGTCAGGGCTGTCGGCGTTGGCGTTGTTGCCAATGTGAGAGGGATTGACGTGATTGTTTTGAGGAGTTGCTGGACAATCACCTGTAGGTGAGAGTTCAAATGCACCACCTAGGGAGCGTTGGGAGGATGCGTGGTGGAAGCTAGGTGGGGGTTGTCGTTGTATAGGAGGAATTGTTTGACCGGGATGACCGGCAGGGTTGTTGATATCGTATTTGTACGCATTCTGCTGTTGCTGTAGTTCCTGTTGCGAGGATGATGGCGGCGGTGGATGAGGTAGAGGAGAAGGTGCGTGAGTAGAAGGCGGAGGCGGGTGAAAGTACGATGGTACTGACGTACTATAACTTGGTGCATTATTGTACTGATTGTAGCTGTATTGTTGATATGCAGAATCGACAATGGGTGGCGACAAAAGGGGCGTTCGCTGGTATTGGTGATAGATACCCCCTACTTCGTTGCCGCGGAGGATGGCAGGATGAGTGTGACCGGTTTCCAAGATTGCTGGCAGACTACTGTTGTTTGGGCTTTGGCGTACCGCTCCTGTGTTTTGATCGACTTTGACTCTTAGGCCCTTTGTGCGCCCCCAGAAGAAGAAAAGCAAGGCTGCGATGATGACAACAGAAGAGCATGCTATGGTAATTCCTGCAATGGCACCAGTCGAAAGGCCTTCCTTCTCGCTGCTGGTACCATCACTGAGTCCTGCTGTCCCTGAACTAATGGGTGTGTTACTCGACTCTGGACTCTCCGGTGGGAATGGTTCGCCAGGGTTGAGCATGTAGCTGCTATCAAGCGCTAGTTGATGTTGCCGAGCGACACTGGTCGTTGTGTTCGGATTGATAACCCCGACCATGCCGTAATTTATACAAGAACCTACAGCTGAACAGTAGAAGAATATGGGGTCGGTGTTTTCGATCTCGATGCTGTAGGTTGGCGGGGAGGTAAGGACAGAGTCGACGGGCTTAAACCCGCTGAAGAAACCAGTTCTGCCTTGCCCAATCATTTCGTAGGGAATACACGGGAAGCCGTATTCGGCGCGCACGACGCTATGGTTTAAAGGGTAAAAGGCAAATTCTATTGTCTTTAAGATGTCAGTAGGGCTCCAATGTATTTGTTGGGTTGCTGGCAGGAACGATAAGTACGAGAGCCTCTTCCTGGTCGCCTGCAGAAGATTACTTACATCGCCAATGTTAGCGTTTGTTGATTCAGGTCTGAATTTGTGGTCTGCCAGGCCGACTGAAATGGTGTGTGTCTGTACAGCTGCAGAGCTTGTCGAGCTTGAATTATTTGCTGGGGTCGACGATGCAGTAGGGCTACTACTGTTGAGATCGAAATCATCCTGCGCAAAGCATATGGATGGGAGAACAACAAACGTTAAAGAGCAAACCACAGATGCAGAAGCCCAGAAGGGTATCCGACGTGTTGCGGAGGCCATGCCAGAAGTGTTGGCTTTCGAGAAGATTACAGTGGTCTTTGGATATCAAGGCAAGGCATAGGAAACGCCAAAGGAAGAGGCGACCTCGAAGCCTACCAAGAAAAAGGGGTCAGAACGGGTTGCAATAATCGGACGCGCAACATGTCAGCGTACCATTGCGGTGGCGATGCAAATAAAGGCTCGGAAGCAGATCAAGCGACCGGAATTGTAAGAGGAATAGCACAAGATGGAACAAATACCTAGTCCTTCTTATTGTGAGTCCCCATATTTATGGCGTACATGTTGAGTTTCTATTTGCCGAGTGTTAGTGTAGCGTCAGCCTCAAGAGCAACGAGACAAAGAGAACACGCTTCGAGGGTTTCGTAGCCCCATGTGGTTGCTGCAAGGGCGAAACCAAGACGAACAACAAAGCCTGTCAGTCTTGTGCGCCCGCTAGTGGTGGATCTAGGAATGTGCCCATTTAGAACTCTTCTTGGAACTTATAGTAGCCGCGACCATTATCTGCGAGAAGTTGTTGTGGTCTTTGGGTAGCTCAGGGTCTGAGTTGCCCCTACACCTCGCCGCATGACGTAGTAGGAAGCGGGCGCATGGAAGCGAAACGACCGCAATTGCAGTCATTATCCAAGCTTCCCAGAATGCGATAGTTCACCGGAATGGATGCGAGACCGTAATTCTGGTGCTCGTGTGACTGCATGGCAACGATTACAAACAGGCAAACAGCAACGAAAAGTCGAAAGTATTTAGTCTTTTAGTGGCTGCTATGCATAGTTGAATTAGAAAGAGAGGAGTGGTCCAACAAAGCGTACCATATGGTAATAACAGCCGCATATGGCCCTGGTATATTCCGCGCTGTCGCTCACATAAAAATCATAAGCTGCGTACAGCATCCGTCATCAAAGTCGTGTGGCATGAAGGCCTAGTGGCACTTCTCGGTCGATGAGAAGACCGCTCTTGTCATTGCCGCTGGTGACACCGCGTCGCATGTCGATGTTGGGTCTGTTAGATGCCAAAATGCGCAGCTGGTCTCTCAGCGGAGACCTGGGTCGCCGAATCCAAATGGGTCATTGCTTGACGAGCTATTGGACCCCGACACATAACCTGATGGTGCTGCAGACAGTTGTTTGCCAAATCCAGGGTTTGGTAAAGGGTTCCAGACTGGGAAGCCCTCTGGTGGCTGACTCTCCCCTATTGGTTTACCACGAGCATAATCGACGAGACTGCCGTTGATGCCAGTAAGTGCCCAAGCAAATACGGCGACGTCGCGAATGCTCTGCATGAAGTTGTTCTGGAATTCCATGGACGGTCCTGCCTGCACCATGGCTGGATGTCGGGCGCCCAAAGGATATTGAGGCATCTGTTGTGGAGCCGGATGGAACACGGGTTGCGTTGCCCATGGTGCGGCGTAGATGCCATTGTATTGCTGTGCTGGCTGGGCAACAGGAATTGTGCCTGGTAACATGGGGCGCGCACGTCGTAGACACACGACCAGCCCATCGGAAGTACAGGATATGACAGCTTCGAGTTCGATAGGATCGTCGCGAACCTCAGACCGAGGTGAACTAACAGAGGATATCGATGAGCGAGGCGCAGAACCACCAAACATGACGTGGTGCGGGTCGCTTGGATTGCGGTTATCGCCAGAATTGGTGCGCGACGCAGACCGCTCCTCACTGTTATCTGTGGTGTGGTTTGAGTCTGAAGGATGTCTGGCTGTACCGTTGGATGTAGAATGGCCGCCGAGACCTACTCCACCCTCAGACTCATCGTCGGATGTGACATCTGTCATGATATCGTCTTCGCTCTCAGAAGAGGAGGCATCAGGTGCGTCGTCCTGTCGAGGGTCGCGGAAAAAGAAGCGCATATAAGCGATGGAGTCGTTTCCTTTAGCCGACTCCAGACAGCGGACAGCGTCTTCAAGACAATTGGGAGCAATGCAGTAATAGAAGCTGCGTCCCTTCATAGCCTCTCCAGAGATACCTATAATCTGCTCAATGCCACTGGTTGCGTACATGACAGTCAGGGTTCGCGTAAACCTGTTGAGGAACAAGGCAGCTCGCGGCTCATGAGTCTGATCATCGGGGCCGAGATCAAACTTGCTAGACAGATGCGATAACATGTGGTAGCGCGGGTCCTTGGGTGACGAGGCGAACAGTTTACGCACTATAGGAGCCTCGACTGCACGTTCTGATTGGCTGTGGTCAGCGAGCCGCAAGGACCAAACGGGTTAGAAGACTTACTCTGGCTCTGCATACCATGTCTATAGATGCTAGTGCAGCAGACAAGGACATCGTAGACGACGGAGAAGCAGCATTCGCAACCGACCCATTCCCCCTGGCGATTCTTCAGGCGGCAATAGGACAAGACAGCGGCCTTGTCCAGTCTCACTCCCCGGCTGTGATGCGCCCTGGCCAAAGGAAGTTCATCTGGATGGAAAAATTGCCACACGGACCGATTGACTACCTCATCGGGCGTGTGGCCGAGGATGTCGACAATAGAATCGGAAGAATATAAGATGTGGGCGTCATCGGAGAGGTCTGTCGGGAGTGAGAAATGGGTGGCTCGCGGGGAGGGTTAGTTGACATACCGTGGATGGTGATGAAGGTGGTATCCATTGTGGCAGGAACGAGGGAGCAAAGTGGCTCGGGATGAGTCGTTCCTGCTCTACCGCACTCGTCCTGGTATGTCGAATCTAATCATTCGCTCTGGGACGGGCGGTGGAAGATTGTGAGGATGTCGGACAGATCAGGCGAGGGAGCGTAGGCGGGTCAAATAGGCAGGGTCCAAGTGGCACAGAGGCGCACAAGTTCGGCTAGAGGAAAGAGTAAGGAGTGAAGGTGGTGCAACCCGGGCCTGGTGCAGCACCTAGGATGGGATAGGATGGGATGGATGAAAGGTGGTAATGTATACGAGTCAGTGGGTATGATGTAATACACAATCACGAAGCGACCAGTTGCCCCTCACTGGCAACGAGGCAGGCAGTCGCAGCGTAGAAGAATAATATGAGCAAGCACGCGGCGGACGGCTGCCTGAAGCGGCTAGCGGAGGAATGGAGAGAGTGCAGTTGGGTCGTGTGCATAAATCAGCGAAGTGAGCAGCGTCGACGTTGGAGCTGGCTCGGCTGCCGTGACCAAGCCCAGGATGGCGGGACTTTGAGAGCACTGCCGGTTGGCAGGGGGAGAAAAAGCCGGCCGGATGAGGCGAAAGGATTGCTGCGACGCGTAGAGGATGCGAGAGGATGCTCCTGGGATGCGATGGGATAGGATTGTAGGGTGAGGTATGCAAGCTATGTGCAGAAAATGAGCTGACGAACGGCGAACCCTTGTTGCGCCGCCCAAGGATCGACGCGAGACTTGCAGTCAACGGCGGTTAGCAGCTCGTCGGCAGCGGCGCGGGGCAACGGCAGTCGTCCTAGTACGGAGGACGAGGGATGATGCATCAGGCCATTCACACCGAGCAGTCGGCTTTGGACGCGTCGCACACGACGGATGGAGAGGCTGGAATACGCATTTACACTGCCTGCAACGTGCAACTGTCACCCATGCGACTAGCCTTGGCAGTACCGACATCGTCAACGGCTGCCGTAGACGATAGATATGCAAACTCTACTGCCGCGCTAGCACTACCAAACACCTCACGGACACGTCTCCGACTTGCTCTCACCACCTGTCCCCCAGCTCCTGCTCAGGGCGATAGCCGCTTCACACAGCATCGAGTTGCACTGCTGCCGGCCTTCCCTGCTCCCTTGCTGGCCTTGGCTGGTGGTACTGTCCTGGCCGACCTTGGTGCTTGTCACCCCGAGCCCTCAACCGAACAACATCATCGACGATCATCCCCCAAACTACGCCACAAGCCACATGCAAGACTCATTCTCCCTCTTTCCACTTGTTGTATTCTCTCCACTCATTCGCCCCTTCTTGTTGGGCCGCGCACAAACCGGCGCTCCTTTGCCCTGCTCTTCCGCGTCGACGCGTCCTTTACCTGTTTGCTGCAAGTGATAGCCTCTTTGAGACTAAGAGCCCTGTCCCTCGCCCTCGCCTCGTCCTAATATCCGATTGGCATACTCAACTTCGGACCCAGGCTACCTGCCACGAGACCCGCGCCCTGCATATCACTTCCATCATATGCACGCTAACATGGACTGCAACTGGGAACTGCCTACTCTGAGGGGCACAGTGAGACTAGGCGTAACCCATGCCTTGCGCGCACCTTTTAGCCACCACTAACACCTCCCCAGGCCCAAACCAAGTCTAGGCTTAGCTCCAGTGAGTCAGGATGTGCATTAACCATCACTTCATGCAATACTCATCACGTCCCAGCCCAGTTCTACGATGTAAATTTCTATCCCTATACCGCTCCCGGTCTCGATCCTGTTTTCGCTGTATGCGGAGGTCCATTTGTATGTATCACCCTGTAGGCCGTCAACCCTGTACTCATCAGCCAAGACTATCATATGCAGGTGCATATTGGGCAAGAACAGCACCGTCGAGATTCTGCGGTGGTTCCAAGACGAAGAGAACACCACAGAACACGGTGCACCCGATGACAAGGTAGGCATATAACCCTATGGCTCGACCTAGCTAATCACTCTACTTCTTGCAATCAGCAGCTCAATTACAACAGCGTCGTTTGGTCCCAGGCTGAAAATGGTGACCCTCTTGTGTGCGTAACCGGCGACTCTCGCATCAAGGTTTTGAACGTCCGAACGGGGGAGCTCGCAACGGTATGCTCTATATCGCTAGTCAGGCTGCATGTACTGACATTGAACGTAGACGCTGATAGGTCATGGCGATGTATTCATATCTATTCCCTGATGCGACCTGGCCTCTCTAACACCAACAGTCTGTCAACGACCTTGCCATATCCCCAGTAGACCCCACTATTCTCGCATCTGTGAGCATTGACCATAGTCTCCGGATATGGAGCTTGCACCCGTCGCACGAGAAGCAGCCCCTCGGAGCCATCTGTTATGGGCAAGGCCACAAGGACCAGGTGCTGACGCT